CTCCTATTTTCACATGTATTCAAACTTCACAGCATCCCCTCAGAAATTCTATCAGACCGAGGTCCTCAATTTATTTCTCGGGTCTGGAAGGTAAAAATACCTTCCAGACCCGAGAAATAAATTGAGGCGAGGTTTGGCTCCCAGGATAGAGAAAAATCTCTATCCTGGGAGCCAAACCTCGCCTCACGTCAGGGTTTCACCCACAGACCAATGGGCAATGTAAAAGACTGAACCAGGAACCGGAAAATGCATTTCGTTGCGTTTGTGCTAACAACCCCTCCTCCTGGAGCACACATTTGCCGTGGGTTGAATACACCCATAATTGTCACATCTCTGCTGCCTGTGGGTTGTCTCCTTTTCCTGTCCAAGCTGTCATCAGTCCCACTACTGTCCGCTTGAGGCTCCCCTCTCACTTTCAGGTCCATCCCGTTTTTTCATGTGTCTCAAGTCAAGCCAGTGTCTTCGAGCCCTCTTCTAAAACTGAACATTGTGCTAATACTCAAGCTTACCTCCTTGTCCTCCTTCTCTCCTAGAAGCTTTGCGGTCTCCAAGCCAGTTCTCCACTCAGTCCTCCTGGATCCATCCTCGAATGCTCACCTGCCTGTCCACCCTCTGGAGCTCTCAAGCTGAAACCCCCCATCTAAGCCAAACTCAATCTCTGTGGGCTCATCCAACCTCCTCCCCATTCACTCCTCTCTCCAAGGAATTGTAATAAATCAGCACCTTCTCTTTATAACTCAGTTCCTCCTGCCAGCGTTCTAACTAATCTCTCTTCCCGAATCACCACGCTGGACCAAACAAATTTTCTGTAAAACTTCTCAGTAAACATTCTAAACTGCTTCCTGACTCGTATTGTGTCTGCACCACTGTGTCTACTCTAGAATCATGTCAGTTTACTATAGCAGCGTGCTAATCAAATAATTATTGAACATGATTTATTAAAGAGAATACAATGAATAAATTAATGGTCAGTTCATTTTTCTGCAGGTTACCATCCAGCTGTTGGCCTATATGGAATAAGATAACTGTCAATAGTCTGCAAATTAGAAGTTACAGTTTTTCTCAAATGCTAAAACAGAAAAGCCAATCCTCTAAACCAAATGACCAGTTGTCTAAACACATTTACTAAATCTAGCCATCATTTTCCAATATCATAAACACATTTCACATGAAGACACAATTCACAAAACACAATCCTCCATTCACATAAATCTTAACACATTTTTCCTTGCTAAAACACAAGTTGCAAAAGAACTCTGCTCATATTCTCAAATAAAAGCTCATGTGATGCAAAATGCTTGCCACAGTCAGCAATATTTGAACAAAATGAACATACCTGGCGTCATTCATTACACACAACGACTCAAAATTGAAAACACCTGTTGCTAATGCTGTGACTACATGTATAAAAGCAAGTTCAGAGTGCACAGTTTGCTGAAGATTCCAAACAAACACAATGGATGAAGGCAGAGTCAGGGGAAGAGGTAATCGTGTCAGAGGAGGGAGAGGAGCAGGCCATGGTGGAAGAGGAGCAGGCCAGGGTGGAAGAGGAGCAGGCCAGGGAGGAAGAGGAGCAGGCCAGGGAGGAAGAGGAGCAGGCCAGGGAGGAAGAGGAGCAGGCCAGGGAGGAAGAGGAGCAGGCCATGGTGGAAGAGGAGCAGGCCAGGGTGGAAGAGGAGCAGGCCATGGTGGAAGAGGAGCAGGCCAGGGAGGAAGAGGAGCAGGCCATGGTGGAAGAGGAGCAGGCCAGGGTGGAAGAGGAGCAGGCCAGGGAGGAAGAGGAGCAGGCCAGGGAGGAAGAGGAGGAGGCCAACAAGGGAGAGAAGGTCCAGGAGGGAGAGCAAGACAACCTCGTACCAACATTACGGACGAGATGCGAGCAACAGTCATTGACCATGTCATTGTCCATGGCATGACAATGGCTGAAGCAGGACTAAGAGTCCGTCCAAACCTGAGTAGGTTCACCGTGGCCACCATTATAAGGGCATTCAGACAACACAACAGGTATTGTACTCTATTGCTTTCTTTGTCACAATACAATTTTACAAGCCTGTGAAAGTAGTCTATTACAGTAGTTTCAAATCAGTTGTTACTGTATTGTAAAACATGTCTATTGACGACACGTTTCTTTCTTTAGAGTTGAAAGAATGCCACATAGAGGTGGGCGGGTTGCCATATTTACAGCGGCACAAGAAACCCCCACTGTGGATATGGTTCGTGAGAACAACCTCATCAGACTCCGGGAGATCAGAGACAAAGTCATTGACAATAATGTGAACTTTGAGGGCATTGATGATGTCAGCTTGGCCACAATAGACCGAGTTCTCCGGCGCCAAAAGATGCGGATGAAACAAGTCTATAGGGTTCCCTTTGAGCGAAACTCTGCACGACACAAAGACCTACGTTACGAGTATGTGCAAGTAAGTATTACAGTACGTAATATGCTACCTGATTGACTGTTGCTCTGAACACCTGTGCACTTTCACATTTTCACAGAGGATATTACAGTTGGACGCGATGGCCAGACCTCATGAGTACCTCTTCCTGGATGAGGCTGGCTTCAACCTGCGTAAACGAAGGCAAAGAGGCCGTAACATCATTGGCCAAAGAGCCATCACTGAGGTTCCTGGCCAACGGGGGGGTAATATTACTCTTTGTGCGGCCATGGGTTTGGAGGGGCTTGTCCACCGGCAGGCCGTCCTTGGGTCTTACCACATCCAACATCTTCTAACCTTCCTAGAGGAGCTAAAAGATATCCTCCTAGACCACCAACAACACCATCCTGGGCCCGAACATCCCATTTATGTGATCATTTGGGACAATGTACGCTTCCACACAACAAACCAAATAAGTGAGTGGTTCGCCACCAACAGTAACCACTTTTTAAACATCTGTGTGCCACCCTACTCCCCTTTCCTGAACCCTATAGAGGAGTTCTTCTCATCGTGGAGATGGAAGGTTTATGACAGACAACCATACACTAGAGAAAACCTCCTAAGGGCAATGGAGCTGGCGTGTGTTGACATCCCAGTGGAGAACTTCCAAGGATGGATCCGCCATTCCAGGGCGTTTTTTCCCACGGTACCTGGCAAGAGACAATATAGCCTGTGATGTGGATGAGGTGAAGTGGCCTGGTGCAGCTCAGCGACATGATGCCGCACAGTGATTGTGGTGTAAATACTGTAAAATGAATTTAAAAAACTTCACACCCTGATCATGTTTTCAAGAGTACTGTTGTGTGCAATAGATTCTGCTTTTGCAGTGAGTTGTGTTACATTAATGTACAGAATTTACTATAGATTTATACCCTTCATATGAAACTCACAAATCTAAATGCTCGATCCTCTGCAGAACTCTAAGAAGATCCATAATTGTAAAGTTTCTAAAAATATGCATTGGAAGTAAAGAAAAAAGAACCTTCTCACAAATTGAGCATTGTGTTTTCAATTGTTTTGCTGTAGTGTGTAGTGATGTGTATAGTGTTTACATTTTTGAAAGCTTCAAGCTGCTCTTTTGGTGTGAAAGTTTGAGTTTTGAAGGGAGAAGGTGTGGTTGTGTTTATGTAGCTTTAGAAAAGGGTGTTGTGTTTAGACATTGAAGAACATGGACGAAACGTTTGTGAAATGTGTTTTAGCATTTGAGAAAAATTGTAATAGAAGTAAATCAATTCAAGATTTTTAAATATCTTTTTGGTCTGGTCCGGGGGATGACCTGCTCCATAGCTTCTCTCAGCCGCGTTGCCATGGCTTTGGATAGAATCTTATAGTCGGTGCAGAGAACAGACACAGGGTGCCAGTTCTTGATGTCCTGCAGGTTTCCCTTTTTACAGAAAAGGGTGATGACTTCCCTGTGGCACAAAAGTAGGAGTGAACCATTGGCATTATAGACATATAGACATTCAGCAGGTATTTTGCTAGGGTGTTCCTATAGGCTTTGTACTAGGGGAGGATGGAATGTGGGGATGGAAGGTGTGAGGGGATGAAAGGGATGCAGAGAGTAATGGATGAGGGAAGGAAGGGAGGAAGAGGCGAGGATTGAGGTATATTTGTGTGTTGGGGCTTAATCTCCAAGAGAATTTGGTTATGGTTCATTTCTCAGAGCCTGCACTGAACCCCCAGATGGACCCTGCAACAGAGAAGAACAAGAAGAGGTAATCAGATGAATGGAGAGAAAAAAGGGAAAATGAATAAAGGGATGGAGGGGTGGACAAATTATAACAGACTAGGAGGAAGGTGTGAGCTGAATATTAAGTTTGTGTGCGGCTCTGCTCCTGAACTTAAGTTAACCTCTTAACTCCATTTAAAAAGCTCTAACTGAGGTAAAAGAATATTAAATATTCTAGAATTCAGGAAATTCTTAGAACCTTACATCTTGATTCCATTGAGTACGGAAGAAGTATGCTTCCTTATTCCACCAGGATAAGAGCGGGGTGACTATAATTGGTCCCAAATCATGCCAGAATTGTGTCATTGCATTGTATGGATTTATGTTATGTGTTTTAAATAGAACAACAAACTAGAAAAGCACTTATTTTGCTGGTTTTCTTTGGATCTGTGTTGTTTAAGTATGTTCACCTGTTTTTAAAATTTAATTCTTGTTTTTATTAACTGAATGAACAGAATGTATTAATACATAAAAATCCAGCAAAAGTTTATGCATGTATTACTTTTTGTATAAACTCGACCCGTTCAACTTTGCCTTTTATCAACTTAATTCATGCATTAACAATCTGCTCTGCTTTAGATCGACATGGATTTGGTAAGGTATGCTGCAAAAATAAACCACCTGCATATATACAAGAAGCGCAGATTGCTGTTGCATCTGGGATGCTTTAGAAACGCACCACGCCGCATCCAGATGAACAGCTCTGACTGACTAAAGTTGCTGAGATCTGCTATGATCTGCTGCAAATGCACAATGCAGCCACACCGGAGCGCTTAAGTTACACTTTCACATCCAGTCAAACCAAAACATAAGAGTTGGAGAATTACAAAGATTTTTCAAAAAAGAATTTCACAAGAGCTGCTTTTCATTTTGGTACTATTGTCTATTTCCCATTGCTCTTATAAGGATTTCTTTGACCTTTTCAGACTCACCTTTTGCCCCAATGTTAAAGAAGAACAAGTAGCTATAAAGTTATGGTAATTTATGCGGGCTAGTAGACCTGATCTCTGGCTGCTTCCTGTATTGTGGTTCTCTTAAACATTATGTTGCTTACAGTTCAGTTTGCCCACGAGTAAAACTAGTAGTTCTGGTGAGCGGAGCATGTTTTCCCAAATCCCCTAGGATAACCATTCCATCCTCCATTCTCAACCACAGTAATTCTCACTCTATGTTTTCCCTTCATTGATTCTGATTCTCAGCACAATATTTTTCAGGCTGAAATGGTTATTCAATAAAAAAGATTCCTATTTAATCCTGATATAATTCCATATAGATTTCAATACCAGATGGCAGCAGCATATTCACCATCACTTGTCAAACTGAACCATCCAGCTAACAGTTTCAGGAAATAATATCGAGATCATACATTTTTTTGAGGGGGGCTTATCCCATAAGAGATGCTCCTGTTATCTTATGTTTCCCTTGGTTACAGACACAGAACTCTTAAAAATGGACCAAAGCCTGAATAATTTATTGGAAGCCTCATTGTCTAAAAATCTGCCTCCATTCTGCAGCTCATCATCTTCCTGTCATGTGTCCAAGTACTTCTGTCATCACCGATCTGACCATGCTGCGGAAGGAATACAACAACCTCCAGCAGGCAGTGATCCGACCCTGTCATTACCACCTGTTTATTCCCCTGGACAAAAGGACTGGTTGTCCTCCAAAGATTTTCCCCTCAAAGACTTCGGTAAGAAATGCTTTCCTTGGTTCCTTGATCCCTATGTCATTGAGTCAGTCATTGGTTCCACTTCAGTCCCTCTCAAACTCCCCTCCCCATCTTAAAGTTAACCCTGTTTTCCATGTTTACCACATCAAACCAATTCTCTCCAGTTGGCTTTGAAGTCCAGCAAAAGGCTAAATCTTCCCCATTTTCTGCTCATTTTTAATTACTGACAATTTATATCCAAATATTGTCCTAGGTTTAGTTCCGTCCATCTTAAGGTCAACTCAGGACAGCCTTCTTGTTTTTGCGCTGTAAAGACACTCCCACAGCATGGTGCCACCTTCATACATGATGGGTATGTTTCCATAGTAATGTATAATAATAATAGCTTTCTCTCATACAAGACATTTAATATGAATGTTGTATACAGGCATAAATTTCAATTTAGATCAACATAGCCCTGAACACCTTCTTCTCCTTACCTACTGGAAAACAGAAAATTTTTGGAATTGTTTATAAAATTCTATGAAAATTAGAAGATACTCTGTATTGGGAATGGCCAAATGTTATTCACACAATATATTTAATGTTGTAATGTCATAATTGGGCAAAAAATCTTAACGGCAAGAATAAGATTGAATGCACCTTGAACTATAAAACTAAAAGTACACTACAATATTGGCTGTTAAAGGTATTCATGGTTAAAGCTTAACTGCTCATAGATTTCACAGAAGTTAAATTGCCAAAATGTTATCAATCCCTGGTAGAGTATTCTATTAACAACATTGCAGAGTTACCAACAGATTATTTATATTTAAATTCAACACAAATGTAGACTTATTATACATGCAAAAGGCGGACTGTATGAGAAGATACTTTCTTTGTGGTGTGGATGGTCGTGTATACACTCCATTGTGCTCTGCCTATGGAGTCACCCCTTAAAGTTCTGTTCCTCGCTGGTTTCTATAGCGGAAAAAATGTGATTTGAAAGAATATCTTCCAATACCAGTAGTCTGTGGAGGGCCACTCAGCAGGTTTTTGTGCAATAAAATGTCGTCAGTACAGCAAGGATGAACAGAGAGGGAAAAATGCACCACTTTAAACTCTAAAGGGCATTTTAAAAGATTTAATTAGAAAAGCATTAGTAAAGATCAGCCCCCCATGTTAATGCTCTTATAACGGCCTCATAAAGTAAATTAGTATTTTGTCAGGACTAATCTGTATTTAGTGCTCATGTTATATATATTTTCCCCCATATCAGTTTGCTGTCTCCCGGATGGCTTGTGGACAACTTTAAACAAGACATTTTATGGATATTTTTAAGAAATAGCTTTCAATGTAGTATATGACTGGTTCTTGTTCTATGGTCAGAGTCTTCCACCTCAGCTGTAGATCTCTGCAGTTCATTCAGATGATCATGGGCCTCTTGGCTGCATATCTGATCAGCCATCTCCTCATTTGAGCTGAAGGTTGAGAGGGATGACAGGGTCTTTGTAGAATTGCAGTGTTCTGATACTCCATCCATTTCAATATTATCACTTTTACAGTACTCCTTTCACTATTTGATGTTTGGGAAATATTTTTGCATCCAAACCAGCTTTAAACTTTACAACAGTATCTCAAACCTGCCTGTTTTTTTTCCTTGTTCTTCATGATGCTTTCTGGCATATCATGTCGTTCTGTTAAAATTCAATAAAAAAAACACTACAGCGTAAGACTGGTAATTGTTATATTACTACATTAGTTAGTTATTTTCATTTTTTTAGCCACTATTAAGAGCCATTATAGAGGGGGCAAAGAGCAACATGTTGCTCCAGAGCAGCAGGTTGCACACCCTGGAATAAGAGCTACTTTAAAAGGCTGAGGGACATATCCCTGTGACATCATATCTAAAATGAGGGTGGGCATCAAAGGGAATAATGTCATAAAGACTTGATCAGCAGTATCCTAGAAAGTATACAAAAAATATTGAACATGCTCCTTAGAAAGACAGCCCTTGTGTGTTCAACCACTTTCTTAATTTGGAGATAATTTGTCTGGAAAGCATGACAAAAAGGTGAACACACCCCAGATGTTTTCACTATTTGGTTTGCTTCTAATAAAAACTCATAAAAAGACATTCCCTTACGTTACTGGATTTTTAAAAATGTTCTTTATTTATTTATCTTTTTTTACTTGAGCTGGTAGTACCCTTTTGTTGTTTATATAGCTTTTAGAGCTCAAGTTGCGAACTTGATATTTCTATTCTTGCACATAGGGTTTTCTGTAGTCAGACAAAGTTAGAAAGCATTTAA